AAATTATGTGATATTATAAATGAAACAATTAGAAAAATAGTCAAGAATAAAGGATTTGTTGTAGTTGGACATGATATCACCACACTCTATTTACCTGATGCTGAAGTTAAAATAATTTTATCAGCAGATATAGAAACTTGTGTAGCTCAATGTTTTTACCAAACAAATTCAAAAGATTATACTAATATTTTCAACAATATTTTAGAATGAGATGTATTATCTCAATCATTAATTAAACAAGCATATAATGTCTCATATGAGATTGATATAACCAAATTAACATTATCTGAAGTTGTTGATATGATTTTAATTCAAGTTTTTAAAAAGATACTTGGTATAACATATTAACACTATTATAGGATAATCATTATTATTTTAGTTTTATTCATATTAAATTATTTTAATTTTTAATATTTTCAATCTTTTATTATTTAATTTTATTTATTAAATAAATTTATCTAGTTAGTCTATGACCAACTAGATTTTTTTTTATATAATTTAAAACATTTATTAACAATGTCTCAACAGTTACCTCTCCAACCCGAACAAGAATTACCAAAAGCTTATAAAGCTAATTTGATTTTTGATAAAAATCAAGATCTTAGTGAACATGTATTTAAAACTTGCTTGGACAAAATTTGTAAAGATGATCCAAGAGAAAAATCAATCTTTTTGATAAAACTTAAAGAATTTTATCAACTTAGAAGTGATATGATGACTGAGATAGAATTTAATTGTAATTTAGTTTATGATAGAGAAGATTCAAATTATAAAAGAGCCAAGAATTGTAAAGAAAAGATTTTACGTGGTCCTAAATATGGAGCACAACAAGAATGTGATTTTGTGATTGATGCATATTTTAAGCATCTATCAGAGCTTGAATCAAGAGTTAAAGTGAATAAAAGAAGACAAGTTACTACTGATGATGAAGAAGAAAATGAAGAAGAAGAAGTAGAAAATAAGAAAAAGAAATATGTTTCTAAAAAGCAAAAGGATTAATTTCATTTATTTCATTTAATTTATAATTATCAAATATATTATCAAATAAATAATTCTATTCAGTAATTACTGAATAGATTTTTAAACAAATAAAATGGCTCCAACATGTAATTATCATACTGAAAAAATAATATATAATGGTATTGAAATATTAGTTAGATGTAATGCTCGAATTCAAAATTTAGCATGTCTAAATTATAATATATCATGTTGAAAACTAAAACCAAAACTAAAATCAAAACCAAAAATCAACAAATATTTTTGTGAAAAATGCAACTATTTTCATTTATGAAAATAATGTAATAGTTGCAAAAACAAGATTGTTTCAGAATTTTTATATTATTGTGAGAAATGCACTAATTTCTATTCAAATAAAGAATGCACTAAATGTAAAAATCAATTAATGGAACCTAAGGATTTCGATTCAGAATCTCTTTCACAAGAGTCTCAAGTTTCATTATGTTCTACTAATACATATTATGAAACTGATGCAGATGATTTTATAGAGTGTGACAAGTTCACTTATATAAAAAACCAGAATGGTATTGTTCTAAATAACAAATTATATTTTAGTGATAGCGAACTTAGAATAGATGATTCTTCAAGTTCTAAATGTAATTTTCTTTAATTAGTTTTATAAGTGATTAAATTTTTTTTTGTGTAATTCTCTTTATTAAACATCTTAACAATTTCTGAAAAATATAACACTGCAAAGAGTCAATATTCAGCTTTTCAATTATCCTTTTTATCATGTCTATTTTGGCTCAATTCTGTTGCAAGCATGTATAGTAATGGTATTTCTATTAACAAGGACCAAATTGATAATAAAATTAAAGACAAACTCACAGAACAAACTAATTTAATGCAAATAAACAAGAAAATAATTGATCAATATGAAGGAGAATGTCGATACTATGTGTTATGTTTGATAGTAAATTCTGAAAAAAAAATTTGTATGAGTTATAGAAATAATCCTAGTAAAGATTATTATACATATTATCAAATAGCAAGAGATGGTTTAGAACCATATGAATCATTTGTTGATTGTGTTATGCGAGAAGTATTTGAAGAGACCAAATTAGATTTGAAAGATTTTCATTTTATTATATATGATAAAGAATTTCGTATATTTTCTGACTGCTCAGATTGTGAAATCATGTTCAAAACTGCGATCTATTTAACTATTACTGATGAAATTCCACAACTAACAGAACCTGAC